GCAACCAAATCTGCTAGAGTTGGAAAAAAGAGAATCCCAACCAACTGCTAGCTAGATGAACACTCTTAGTGGCAGGACTATCTAAGGGCAGAATTACTCAAAGCAAACATGGAAGCCTTTCTGTTTTGTGAACTGCTATAGTTTTAGTCAATATATTGCAAATAGGAAGCTTTAGGCACCAACACTGTAATATTTTCTTCTCTATTTCAGTATAAGCGTTGGCTTCAGTATTTTAATTAATTTTTATGTTCATATTGTCCACATTTATGTTTATGGCAAAACAGAAATGATCATGAAGTTTTAAAAGACTTATTAATCCATACACAAAATTATAAAAGCTGAAAAGTCAAGAAACAAATGCACCTATGAGAGAGCAACACAGTGACTTGCATTCAATGCTACGTTTTCTTTTATGTTCAGAAGTTAAATGGGAGTCAGACAATAATTACAAGTAAAATTTTGCAATTCGGATGTTACTGTTCCCACTTAGTATATTATAGGAATATCCTTTAATTGTACCAAGAGTAATTTTGTACACATTTACTTCCAGCCCTCCTCAAGTGTAATACATTTATATAAATTAAAGAATTGATTATTTCATCTCTCTCCCTCATTGGGATTGTGTTTCTCAAAGAAACTCATGCAACTGATTCCTTTCCTGGGCTCAGACATTGCACAAGTTTGTAAGTCTACACATCTGTTTTCAAGTCCTACCTCAGGTTATTTTGAAGCTGTTCCTCCAAAGGCCCCAGTACTCTTTTTGTTAAACTGTCTCCTCACAAGCATCAATTCAAAGCAGGTATAAGACACTATTTAAGTTCTCTATGACTCACATAACAGGTACTACAATATAAATGCATTCTTTCACAATCTGGATCTTACTTGAAGTGTGAAACCAAGCAAGCCCTGCTCCCTCTGTCTCTCGGGGAGAACATTCCCTTACTTCCTGCACCTTCTGGACATTCTCTTTTTTCTTTCTGGTGATGTCACTCTGTTCCATCATTTTTACCTCTACGTGTCTTCTATAGTTCAAGTCTCCTCTCTTCATCCCATGAAGACATTCCTCATTGAAATTAGGGTCCATCTAAAAAACTGAAAATTATCTCATGATCCTTAAATTAATCACATCTGCAAAGACTCTCTACACCAATAAGATGTGAACATATCTTTTTAGAATTCATCATTACATCCATAACACATATCAATACATTTAAATATGGCCCTTAATTGACAGATGTAATATAACACACATCATAAGAGATTTAAGTCCTAACTGGGATTGCATCGTCTACTATATAGAAACCTTGCTGAAAACCATGTATGATAAAAGTGAAATTGTATTTATTCAGCATTTTAAGTGTTATGTTATTTTTTCAAATATGTTAACTTAGAATTTCTAAAATGAAACAGATAATCCTTTCTGTTTAATGTGATTGATGAATCATATCATTCCATGAAGCAAGATTTGCTCTAAAACCAGAAACTAGTATTGAGAAGAAAGCTCTGAACTAGACGAACATGAGAAACCCATATTCTTGCTCTTAATGGAAGTAGAAAATCTAGGAACAAAATCTAAAGCGTGGGGCTGGATGGTTCTTTCACATGGAATCATGCGGAGCCTGGAAAGTAAGAAGCACAAACAGAAGTCACATAGAAGGTCACTTCCTTCTCTAAAACCAGAAACTAGTATTAAGAAGAAAGCTCTGAACTAGACGAATATGAGAAACCCATATTCTTGCTCTTAATGGAAGTAGAAAATCTAGGAACAAAATCTAAAGCGTGGGGCTGGATGGTTCTTTCACATGGAATCATGCGGAGCCTGGAAAGTAAGAAGCACAAACAGAAGTCACATAGAAGGTCACTTCCTTTGACTTTGATGGCAGGTCTGTCAGAGCTGAAGATGGAACAGAAGAAAACAGCATCCTGAGAACAAAGCCACTACATCACAGCCAGGCCACACATAAGCTTCTGAAGTACGATCTTACAAGCAATTTTTTTTTTGAGGCAGGGTCTTCCTGTAACCCCAGCTGGCCTGGAACTTGCTATGTAGAACAGGCTGGCCTCAAACCCACAGAGAGATCTGTCTGCCTCTGCCTCCCAAGAGCTGGGATTAAAGGTAAACACTGTCACGCCTGGCTGCTAGTAATTTTAAAAGAATTGCTTGACATCTAGTATCATTCTGAGGTAAGAGCAATCCAAAGGAAGCTGATTTTAGACAGATTTCACCAATGTATAAGAGACCAGTATCTCTCTGGGAGTCAGCACAAAAATGGGACAATAACGTAAGTAAACCTGGCCTCAGAGAATAATGACTAATGAATTAAAAGCCCTTTTGGGCTGACTTCTTACAGTAATAATCCTTAATATAGCTGAATAATTTTGCTTTAATATCTATCAGCATTACTTTGATTACTGAAACATATTGCACATAATTTAATAATAAGATTGTGGTAGTTTGAATGAGAATGACCCCATAGATTCCAAGTACTTGGACGTCTTGTCCCCAGTTTGTGGCACTGTCTTTGGAGGTTTTAGAATGTGTGGCCATGCTGGAGGAAGCACATCACTGGGGGCGGGCTTACAGAGTTCTTAAGCCTTGCCAGACCTCCAGTTGTGATTTGCTTCCTGTGCCTGATTGAAGATGTGAGAGCTCAGCTTCTGCTCCTACTCCAGCCACCCCTGCCACCATTCCTCCCCACCATGATGGACTCTTGCCCCTTTGGAACTGTAAGCTAAAGAGATTCTTCTTTTTATGAGTTCCCTTGGTCATGGTGTTTTATCACAGGAACAAAAAAGTAACTAAGACAAAGATTATATATAAAATAAACTATAGCATTTATATTTACTAGAACAAGAGTCTGCAATTCAATGTATGCTGCAAGCAGATGTCTTGATACGGAAAATAGTTCATGGTATATCTATAGGTGAGCAACCATGCAGTAAGACTTTAAAATCCATAATGTAGATCTATGATAGAAAGTAAGAATTTTCAACAGTGATCCTTTTTGCTTGTGAAAAATTAATCCCTAAAGGTAAATTATTCACAAATACATAATTTTCCAGACAAGATTAAAAGTGATATGGTAAGGAAAACCTAGTGCTTAATATGGTATTAGGATTACAAACATGCATTTTCATTAAAAATAAGATAATACATTACATCAAGATTAGTTTCCTCCTTGCTAATGTTAATTTATTTAAGTAGATTTGACTACTACTGATTTGAACTCAGCTCTCTACATACCCTTTTCAGAATTAATCTTGAGATTGTTTTTTCCTCTGCTGCCCTTTTACATATTTCCACAAATTAAATACTCTTATTTTTAAATGAGGTTATCAAAAATTCAGGTTGTGCTCATGATAAAATTTAAATTATTGAGCTAAGGCTGTAGCTATCTCAGAAACCTTGCCTAGCATCTATAAGGTTCTAGGTTCAATCTTCAGCACTAAACAAAAAAGAATTAAGAGTCCAATAAGGTTTATATATTGGTTGATGAGTATTATTCTTCATCAAAATAATTAGACCTTTGAGGGGAAAAACATTGTTCTATGGCTGGAGTACAGAGGAGAGACTGTGGCTAAGTCAGTGAAATGTGTTCCTTGAGAAGCAAGGAAGAGTTCAAAAACAAAGCAAGTGAAAGAAACAGGTAACAGACTTGGAAGGTCCACATAGAGAAACATGAAGCATCAAAGTAGTGATAAAAATGGAATATCACCCACTGAAAACAAAATTAGTAAGTCCAGGCAGATAGCAGAGGGATCAACGGAGCACGTTTAGACATAATTGCCAATTAATAGACGTAAGAGCAATGACAGAATTGGGATCACACATTTTCCATCATCATTACCAATAACTGGGTCAGGCAAGATAATCAATAAAGCTAAAACTAGGGACTGAAAGTTAATTATATAATAATTTTAGTAGATATCCCAGAAATTAAATGGGGAGAATAATAACTATACAATGGAGCTATCTGGGGTGCATCATGTTTATCAAGAGATCCAAGCTGGCTTTTTCTCAATAATGGAACAGATTAATATCTATACCTACACATAATGCACCAGGGACACTTTTTGCAGAAAGTAAATAATCTGAATCAAAACATAGGAAGTATTGTATATGCCCAACTTGCAGGACAGCCTACAAAAAATCTGTATACACTTCAAAATGTCAATGCTTAGAAAAGCAGATATAAAAATTGAGGACATACTCCAGTTGCAAAGAGACTTAGAAGAGATCATAATAAGTAGAATGTGAAATCTTATATTAGGCTCTGCCTGGGTGGAGAGTGTAACCCAGAAGGTCCTCTGAAAGGCTAGAATTGATCGGGGGGGTGGATCCAGAGACCCACACTGAACACACTTGGGAAAGGGATGGAGCGATCACCATTTTGAACATGGGGAATGGAGCTGTGAGGGCTGGGGAGTAAGTGAACGGCCATGGAGTCACCCCCTCCTGGTGTCATAAACTATGCAAAACCCAAATAGAATGTGTTATGCTGATTTTGTCAGTCTGAGTTAGGGAGACACTAGAGTCCTCAGAGGGCATGCGTGGGCCCCCCAGGGAGGGAGACAAGAAAATTTAGTGCAACAAATAGGTGGAATGAGGATATGAGATATTAGAGAAAACAAACACGCAAACATTACACTTTCTGATTTTCATAATCATAATGGGACATTTAACTAAATGGTTCAAAATATTAATTATATAGAGAGAGTACAAAATAAATAAAAAAGACATACTAGTCTATAATGATTCTGAATAAGGGTATATGAGGGTTCTTTGAATAATTCTTGATAGACTCTTCACTGCCTAAATGTATTTCATTAAAAAGTTTCAAATATGGAGATGTAAATTGGGATACGTGAAAGCTGTGAAATAGGAACCAACATGGAACCTTCCCGTCAGTCATTTTAAGGTAAATAAATCCAGTTCCCATTGATTCTGCAGCTCTGGGTTTCCTATCACACTTCACTGCTTGATAAGCTGTCATAAAGGAATGGGAGGCAACCAGTCATGGGAGGCAGACTTCATCCTTGTGGGACTTCACCTCAGTGCAGAGATAGAGCTCTTCCTACTCTGGGTCTTCTCTCTGCTCTACATCCTTGGGCTGCTGGCAAATGGCATAATCTTGGGACTCATCTACCTGGATCCCAGGCTGCATACCCCCATGTACTTCTTCCTCTCACGCCTGGCCATCCTTGACATGTTCTATGCTTCCAACAATGTCCCTAAGATGCTGGCCAACCTTGTGAACCAGAAGAGAACCATCGCCTTTGCTCCATGTATTCTGCAGACATTCTTGTATTTGGCCTTTGCTGCTGCAGAGTGCTTGATCCTAGCAGCCATGTCTTATGACCGCTATGTGGCCATCTGCCACCCACTACACTACACTGTCATCATGAACTGGAGAGTATGTGTGGCCCTGGCTGTCACCTCTTGGTCATGTGGATTTATCCTTTCCTTTGTTCACACAATTCTCCTACTAAGGCTAACCTTTTGCGGATCCCGAGAAGTGAATCACCTCTTCTGTGAAATCCTGGCTGTCTTAAAACAGGCTTGTGCTGACACCTGGATCAACCAAGTGGTCATCCTCGCAGCATGTGTTTTTGTCTTGGTTTGGCCTCTTTGTTTAATGCTTGTTTCCTACACTCACATTCTCTGGGCCATCCTAAAAATCCAATCAGGGGAAGGCCGCAGGAAGGCCTTCTCCACATGTTCCTCCCACCTCTGTGTGGTGGGACTCTTCTTTGGGATAGCCATGCTAGTTTATATGGTCCCTGACTCTGATCAGCGAGTGGAGCAAGAGAAAATGCTGTCTCTGTTCCACAGTCTCTTTAACCCAATGCTGAATCCCCTCATCTACAGCCTGAGGAACGCCCAGGTAAAGGAAGCCTTCCTCAGAGCACTGCAGAAGAAGGGGTCTGTGTGAGGGGCACAGAGAATACGGGTTGGGCAGTCTTCCTGAACGATGCTGCTGAAGCAAGAGCTTCAGACTTCCCAGTTAGAAGTCTGATAGAAAAATGGTGATTACTCGAAGTCTAGCTCTGGAATTAGGGAAAAAATAGAGGGAAAACTACATATTACCATAGTTTACATTGCTAATCCAGTTTCTAGGTTAGCAGCAAATGCTGGCGAAGCTGTGAATCAAAGGGAAAAGTCCAGCTACGGTAGAGGTCGGTGGAGATTCCTAAAAATCTAACAATACAGATGTCTCATTGACGGCTGAGCCCTCACTGCTATCATCCCTCCCCTCCAAGGCTCAGGGAACACTGTAGAAGGGGTGGAAAGATGTAAGATCTGGAGGTTGGGGACGGGTGCTGTGAAATGCTCTCCCCTGGACACAGCATGACTGTCACACACATGAACTAACAGCAGCTGTGGTTACTTGAACAAAAACAAGTCAGTTAAAAATTATACCGTGAACTAGCCATGGCGCACGCCTTTAATCCCAGCACTCGGGAGGCAAAGGCAGGTGAATCTCTGTGAGTTCAAGGCCAGCCTGGTCTACGTACAGGTTCCAGAGCAGCTGGGGCTACAGGGAGACCCTGACTCAAAAAGACACCCCCACAGAAATTATACCATGGAAGGGAAAGGGGCTCTTTGATGCCCCATCCCATTCTAGGATCTATTGGCAGTCCATAGCTAAGGGAAGAGTCACTTTTCCTTGGGGGTGTAGGTGATGCATACCCTAGTGGATGAATGGGGCATAGTATGTACTTATTCTT